GGTTTTGTACGCGGATCACGTGAGATTTCACCCGTGTCGTCCCTATATAGAGAGTCTACCGACTCTCTGATACACTGTGTTGCAGAGTGTACCACTACCTAGTTCTGTGTGTTCATGACTTAACATCATGCTAGTGTAATCATGGTGGATGCTTTGCACCACACAATTATGATCTATCTCTGGTGTGTAACGTCATGCTAATCATGGTAGTACATGTAGCCTGGTGCAACACGTGTAGCTAATCTTCCCCATGCAGTGCTGGGTACTGACTTTGGACTGGGAGACAGAGTGGGACCCACTACCACGCTGGTGTTCCAGAGAGGCAGCAGAGTCGACAGACGTCAGTGTCTCTTCGTGGACACCTTCACAGTCTACGAATGCAGGGAAGATGTCCAGTTCAACATGACCATCACTGGCACTACTCCAGCAGTCCAACTGCAAGAACCTCTTCTAGCCTCGGTTTTAATCACAGATGCTAATACATCATGTATATGTCCTGGAGCTAACGCCACACCGCAGGTGTGTGTATAAAGGTGAATTGTGCACACACTAAGCTCTCACTCCACAGGTCGTTCACAGCGTAGCAGAGAGTCCCTGTATTTGAGTCTGCTCCTGGCCATGGCAGCCCTCGCTACACTCAGTCTGTTGGCTCTCACTGCTATAGTGGTAGCCTTCTGCTGCTTCTACCGACATCACAAACACCACTACTACAAAGGTTAGACAAAAGTTTTATGTGAAACCTCCGAATAAAGGACACCTCCTAATAAGGACACTTTGAGGAAACTTGGTTCTGCCCCACGTTCCTATTGCCTCCAAATTTTTCATGTCCAACAAAGTTTTCCGTTTTCAGACGTTTCACTGTATAGCTACTATGAAATACATTCTCTCTTGGTATATTTCTGCCATACACACACCTATGTATACAGCCACTGCAAAGCCACTGTCAGACAGATCAGGCACAATGATACGTAACCTGCAAGCCGAAGACCACAATAGGACCGGGACACTCACCTCACTCGACTCGCACACCTACGACAGCTTCAGAGCCCACGACGACAGCGCTGCGAGAGAGGCACTCTGGGCACGCAACCTGGCTGTGAGGTCCGTTCTGCTTGCTCAAGAGTCAGACAATGACGACTACCTACACCTCCAGCCTGCACCTCCCGCTGTGCCCAACACCTCCAACACCACCACTCATGATCACATCTATGAAGAACCCCCCTCCTTTACCAATGACACCCTGCAACCTTCATCCACGTTCCTATAGATGACTCCTCAATACATTTAATACACATGTAACAAACTGCAATATTAACATGATCCATGAGCACAAGTGTAGATGAACAGATTCCTCTAAAATCAGTCAAGATTAGTGGCAAGAGTATAGAGGTCGTGTACAGTCTGGTGGACTTGGTGCTCAGTCAGCAGACAAGTCTCTAGTCCACTCTTCTTCGCCAGCCTCACCTCATACTCTCCTTCTCCAGTCTGCACACAGAAATGTAATGCTGAGTATCATGGAAGGTAAGTTTGACGTGTCAAGAATAGAAACAAATGCACTACTGGGCAACTGAAAGACACCAATCACTGATAGACATAGATCCCTGACCTTGTGGCCAATAACAATGGTGCAGGGATAGCCCAGTCTCTGAGAGTCCCTGAGACGAGCCCCCATAGTGAGGTGGGTGCGGTCATCCAGGATCACATGACCCGGGCACGCCTCCTCCGAGAGACGGTCGTAGAGTTGATGGGCTTTCACCATGAGTGAGTCACTAGGATCCTCCTGAGTCATTCAGTCACCAATCATGACAAATGAACCACCAATCATTAGGTTAGCGTACACTGTGTTCTAAACAGAGTTGATGTGCTGTAGTAGCTACACTTGTTTCTGGAGAACAGTATTTATCTGTACAATAGTGGACACACGTACAGGTGAAGTGGTGAGTGGAAGCACACAGGCAGTGAAGGGGGTAATGGAGAGGGGCCAGGAGATGCCCTCACTGCCGTGGACACTGCAGCTGTGCTCCACCACGGCCTGCAACAGACGAGAGACGCCTATTCCAAAGCAGCCCATCTCACACAGCCTGGAACAGACACAAGAGTCAGATTTCACGGCGGACACACACACACATAATATTACTCAGATAAAGTGGGACTCGCATACCTTTCTCTGTTGGTATGGTCACTGAAATTAGCTCCAAACAGTGAAGAATACTTGGTTCCAAGGTAAAAGGTGTGAGCAACCTAATATTTGAGAGTAACATAAGTGTGTAAGCGCTGGCACTGATACGATTTCTGTATACTATTGGTGATGTCTTGTACATACGTACTTCAATTCCCTTCACTTCTTCCAGCCGGCATTCTCTTGGAGATGTCTGTGGACAGCCAGGCAGGCAATCTCCTTCCACACCTCCTACGACTGTACTGAGCAGCTCCTTGTTGAAGCCTCTACCACAGCTACACACACGGGGAGACATCAACAATGAATGGCACATTGATTTACGTACTGTAACTACACAATCAGCCAGATACACATGAGGTAGTAGAAATTGTGTACTTCAGTAGTGGAAGGCCAGAGTGGTTCGGAGTAGGCTTCATAATACTTGTGATAGTTCACTACAACCACACAAGGTTTACCTGTGACACAGGACCAGGGTGTCTTCACCGACAGGGGACACCACGTGATACTCGTGGGAGAGGGAGCCTCCGATATTACCAGTGGCGGCATTCACTGCAGAATCACCAGTATATACACACACAGAGAGACACCACAGCTAGTGTGCTTCTGCACCTCTCATCACTGGGAGACTGATGGTCCTGAAGATGCTCTCGTACGCCTCACACACCTCATGGTAAGTGGCAGTAGCTGCCTCTTCACTCACATCAAACGTGTACATATCTTTGAAAATAGCACGATGGGTGAATATAGAAGACACGTTTTCAGGTAGGTTTCACCTTTCATCCAAAACTCTTTACACCTGAGGAGGCCACCACGAGGCCTCTTCTCGTCTCGGAACTTCCTGTCCACCTATTCACCACACATGCATGCATTACAGCAGTATATAAACCTCACTGGCTAACCAATGGCTCTATAGGTCACCTGGTAAAGCCTGAGTGGCAGCTGCCGATGTGACGTCAACTCACTGGCTACGAGCTCTGTGACTGACTCCTCGTGAGTCTGGACAATGACAGATCAAATTATGACATAATGGCACAACAAAAGAGTCTGGGGTAATCTCACAGGTCCAACGCAGCACTCTGCACCTGTGTTGCTCTTCAAGCGAAACAGTTCAGACCCGACCGTCTCCCACCTGCCTATAGCAACAACAGTAAACATTGCCATACAGTGGATCCCCTTTCAGGACACCCCGGAAATGAGTTACACCTCCTCCCACGAGAACAGTTCTTACTTTGTACAAGATCACGCGTGTAACTTTATTTGCTAGCCCTCGGTTTGTATCTGTGTTTTATCTCTATATAGATACCAAGGTTTGTATCTGTGTTTTATCCCTATATAGATACCAAGTGAAGCCCTTCTCAGTCTTACTCCTCCTTCTTTCTGTATGTAGTATGTAAGTCAAGTGTGGGCTGTTTGTATTTTACATGAAATAAGGAACATTCTCTACAAAAGGGGTTCTTCTGCCCCATTTGGTGAGCAGATTACAGGGGTACACTGACCCGAGCAGATTACAGGGGTTCCACGGTACACTGACCTGACTTCTTCCACAGAGTAGCGGGGTTGAGTATGGGCAGAGCCATCCTGGATGCCCCGATGGCCTCCATATGATGGTTCACCAGGACCACCAGTCTCTCCAGGACCCTCAGACCCAGTGGCAGTAGGTGGTAGACACCGGCAGACGACTGGCGAATCAGCCCTGCATCCAGCAGCAGCTAATGATGTCAGAGACAGAGTGGGGAGATATGTTATTGCTGAGAATAAAAGAGAAGTTCTTGTTGGTCACACAAAAATCAGTGGCACACAACTTTGCCTTAGTTAAAGAAAAGCACTAAAGTGCAAACCCTCGGCACACTGCATATGCATATGCGTGGTACTGCTTATTGATGGGCTGGACTATGAGTGCGTGTTTTACACTAGCTATACATCTGGTACGAAGTGTGGTAGTTTTGATTATTACATTTGTGTAAGTGAGGGGTTAGTATACATACTCTCATATGCACACCATATTACATATTACATATAGGGTAATCTGAAAATGCTATGTTGAAAGACACAAGCATACAAACATTACAGTCTGTCCATGCAGTAAAAAAAGAACTGAATGTTACACTCCATTTCAACTTATCCATGATTGTTTGAGGCAAAACTGAATACAGGCCAAGAGGGAAAGGCGGCAATTTTTGTCGGGGAGTCAAACTCAAACTCAGGCGACCAGCTTTTGTCTGGGAGCTGCAGGTCCAGTCACGACATTCATGCTCAACTCCCAAAAGTAACTGGTTCTATATATCTCTGCCACCTGGTTGTATAATGTATCTGGCATGGCCTGTATGTACTTAGCCAGCTTCACACTCAGCTTTTCATTGTATAATGTATGGTAAAAACCTTGTGGCTTTTTATTGAGGCCTGCTGGGAGTCAGGCTGCGCCCTGGGCAAGAAGAGGCTAGTGCATGTGACTCTGTGCTTATGACTTCCTCTCCCTGTAGCGGAGGAGTAGCGCCTCAGGATCCGCAGCCTTTTCCACGCACACAACATTTTCTTGAACCCAGCATGCACCACGCGCATAGCCCCCCGCCCCCTCCTTCTTGTGTTGGCGTGTGTCCTACTGCGCATGCTCGTGTACGTATAATTACGCCGACTACGAACACTACGAGCCTACATCTCTGAGGATGAGAGCAGGATCATCTTTCCTACTATTGTACATAGGTACATTAGTAGTTTGTGCAAAATCAAGATTCGATGCAGGGTGTCCCAGAACCGCTAACAAATCTTTACTTTTGCTGGGGACGACGAATGACGAGCAAGTTGCAGGAATCTCGGCCGCTGTTGATGCGTTTTCCTCGCTTTGCTGTAACGTATCACTACTATACAAGGTTCGTATAATAATCGCTATGTGAATGCAGTGCCAGTAAGCAATTATTATTGAAGGATAGTACTGGATCAGTGTCATCTCCATTGGAGGAACTGGTACACAGACTGAAAGACGGAGAGCTAGAAGATGTACTAGCTGTCTTGTATCCTGGAGACACCAATGATACCACCACCATTATGCAGATACTCAACACAAATATCTTGAAAATACCACTGGTAATAGCTTATTATACAGCACAATTCCAATTTGAATCTGATTGTGCACAGATCACCTTCTCCTTCCCACCTGTACCAACTGCATCACTAACATTTCCATACCACATACAACTGGTGCCCTCTGAGACGACTCTGCCACAGGCTGTGCAGGCAGTGATAGACCAGTATGGCTGGACCAGAGCTGCTCTCCTCACCCAAGATACCAGTGTCTTTATCTATGTACGCAAGTGCACGAATAGCTACTACGTATAATAGATATCAACCTAAAAAATTTTACGTAATACGGCAGTTGAGAGACCAGCTGCTGTCTCTATGGAGAAGCAAAGGTGTGGATATAATTCACCAGCAACTGATACATTCCTCTCCACTAGCTGGAATACACCCTGACCAGCTGTTTGTGAGGGAGAAGAGCAGTGTGAAAGTGAAATTAAGGATAACATATGTGTTCATCATGCAGGCAGATGATGTGCGTATATATGTGCTGAATATGAACTGTCACTTTGCCAGGGAGGTTATTTGCAATGTAAGAGATGCCAACATTATCTCCAGGACAGTAATTATGCTCCTTTCATTTCATGATCCTCTCATTTCAGGCAAGACATTTGGTCCACTATTCCAACTATGTGTGGATCACATATGGCTGGTACACAAGAGAATGGTGGAAGAATGGAACATCTGAATGCAGTGGAGATGAACTAGAGGAATACCTCAATGGAGCACTGGCTGTTAGTCACTTTCCCTCTACTGATGCAGTGAGTCTACACCACACTACTGCATACACTTAACTCATACTAATTAGCGATGACTATGTTCTCTCCAGTCTAGCAGCAGTGAAAATGTGTCAGAGACTGACAGACTGGTCCACGATGCTGTGTGGGCAGTGGCTCTGGCTCTTAGCAGCAGCTCCCTTCCCAACACCAGTAGAGAGCAGTTTTTGGAGAAAGTTTGATAACCTCTCCTTTGAGGGTGCTTCTGTAAGACATGTGTTAATTTTAAGTACAAATGCAAGATTTGACAATGTTCAATTATAGGGGCTGGTGACACTTAAGAATGGTATCCGTGTACCTGGACTAACAAGAGTTTTTCAATACAGAAAAGGTATATATGGCAATTTCATATTGTTCTTATTAATGAACGATTATGCTTTGTGGGGTGGTTTGTTTCCTGCACTTTTCACAGCCTTGTTACTTTTTAATTTGGCAGATGAGGAAGCACGTCTAGTAAAAACGACAGTGGCTTTGGTAAACTGGACCTCCACTGAGCAACAAACCCTAACTGAGTTCACTTATCTTGATGGAGAGAGTGAAGGGTTGGTGTGGCCCAGTGGTGTTCCATCTGATGGAACTCCCATTGAAGTTCCGCACTACCCATTCCTGTCCCTCATGGTGCTGGTCTACCTGTTTGCTGCGGCCGGGCTGGTTTTCACTGTCGTCTGTCTTATCTTCAATGTTGTCTTCAGAAACAGAAAGTCAGTAACCATTTTTCAGACGTTGCCGAGATGTTTTTCATTTCTTCAGGTTAGTTCGATTGAGCAGCCCAAAGCTCAATTACCTCATAATTCTCGGGGCAGCTATGATGTACGTCTCTAGTCTTGGACATTACTACCCCGAGGGCTCATCTCCTACTTACATATCTGCACTTTGCAGTGTAAGTAAGTGCATCACTAGCTACTGCTACACTTTCAAGGGCCATCAATTAACTACCACATACAATGGGATGATTTAGGGTTTCCTTTTCATTCAGTCAAGGGGATTTGTAGCCAGCTTTGGTTATTCGATTGCATATGGGACAATCAATGCCAAAATGTGGCGGATCTACTACCTTTGCACCAAGACCAACCCCAGAATACAAGCAGTTGTGAGTCACAGCTTCAAGTTGTTCTGTTTTATGAAGTACTCTATATATACACAGCCACTGAAAGACTGGCACCTGATGTTGGTGGTGGTGCTGCTGGTACTGATAGACTCTCTGGTTGCAGTCATTGTTCTCCCACTGGACAATGCAAGAAGTCAAACCACTGCTATACCCAACAAACAAGACCAAGACTTCACAAAAAATGTTAGAGTTCCTGCTTATACAAACACGACTTTAAGCACACTCTTTTTCTGTATCACTCCCCTTCCCTCTTAATGTGTTCAGAGTGAAGGTATTAGGGAGATGTCTGTGGTGTATAGGTGTACATCACCCACCGAACCATACTGGGTAGGAGTTCTCTTTGGCTATAAGGTAATCTTCCAGGCCATTGGCGTGTTCCTGGCCTTCAAGATCAGGAAGGTGAAGATCCGAGGTCTGAATGAGTCGAGAGAAGTGTCGGCCATCATCTATATCACATCAGCCGTCTTGGTCACCATCATTGTGGTCTCATTCGCCTTTGGAGACTATGTTGATGTGGGTGCTGCCACATATGGCTTTGGTCTCTGCACTGCCACAACAGTCGTCCTCTTATTGACATTTGGCTCAAAGGTAAAAACTGATAACAAAAAAAAAAATGTTATTGATGGCCCCTAAGTCCACATCCAATTTAAGAGAGGCTCAGTGTAGCTCCTAGCTCTCATACAAAGTGTATGGAGTCCAAGCTCCTGTACTTGTAAAAAGTGGAACGCCAAAGAGCCATAGACAGTGTAGGTGTATGTACCAAGTGCGTTCATAGTTTCCTATTGTTAAAATTCCCTTACTGATAAGATTTTAATCCCCGAAACATGTGGGAATGTCTGGAAGACAAGGCCACTGTAGTAAATTGTAGGCATATAATATTTTCAAGAATCCATGATTATTATTACTTTTACTTGAATAACACGGCTCCTATACATTGCTGAGTGACTTGTCCTATAACCGACTTGTTGTCAACCAAATCACTGTTTATGGTGCAGATGTGGGGGCTGTATAGAGACCCAGAAGGAGAAGAATGTACTGAAGGGGACAGTAGTGTCCAGCAGTGGTCCCCTGGACACAGGGGGTACTGGGAGCAGTCAAGTGCCAGCACTGCAGGCCAGGATCAAGGAACTGGAGCAACTACTCCAACAACAGGGGAACAAAATTGATCAACACAACTCAGAAGATGCTCTGTCAGCCACCTCGGAATGATTGCCTCGATGAATTGAAATATTGTTCATCACACACACTTTTAAAATGCACAATGCATTGCATGATATAAAACTTAATGAACTGTAAAAATGATTGCATGCACAATGATTCTCTGTCACTTTTCAATGACCAGCATCACTGACGATGCAGCAGGGTCTGTTGCACTATTATCTGACGCAGTTTGTGTTGTCACAAGAAGACAGCGACTTGCACACACGGCCACTGCAGCAGCTGCAGGGAGAGCAACAGGTGGAGCAGCAGCAAAAGGTCCTGTGGATCCAGCGAGAGTCACGCGGTGGCAGCAGCATCAATAGGAACCCCGCCACTATCAGGTCGACCGCGGCAAACTTCCACGTGGAGAAAAGGTTCACACGGCGGGCCAGGAGGTCCACTAGGGCATTGACCGGGATACCCAGTACTGTCCCGAGTGATATGAACAGCGGGTAGGTGTAGGCAATGCCAAAGTTTATGGAAAAGTTAAAGAGGACAGAGAGTGCCGAGCTGGCAGAGAGTAACAGCCAGGGTATCTTAACGTCGTTGTCGGCGATGACCTCTTTTTTGGTGACCTGGAGAGCCAGAACCACTGGCCAGAGGAAGAGGTGCTGAAGAGACCGAGGGAGGAGAGGAAGAGAGACATCTGGTAGATGGAGGCTTCCCTCACCCTCACCTTCAGCAGAACCTATCATAAATGTACATGTATATACATTCTAGGTCGCAAGGCAAAAGAACACAACTATACCCCCAACTATAAGTATGATTGTCGTCAACTTTTATCTCTACCTACACTTCCTCACAATAGTCTTTCCCAATGGACTTCTCTCGCTAACTTTTGTGGGAAAACAGAAACAAACTACCATCGCTTCCAGCTGAGTTGCCATGGGTGAGATTGATACACACAACACTCTGCAATCTAGGCATAGTGCACCACCAATGGAGATACATGGGCAGCTGAACAGGCGAGGCTCAAACAAATGCGAACCTCAAAACCTCTACTGTACTAGATAATTTTTACAGGTGGGGCAGGCACATACGTTCGAGGTCATGCTTTGTAGACCTCTCCATGCTTGCGTTCACTCACAAGCATTGATAAAGAACTCAAACCCATTCAACACCAACCTACAGAGCAAGTAGTAAGTCTTTGTGAAGTCACAGTCACATGATTTCATATATGGCAACAGGCACTCACTAGGCTGTCACAACATGCCAGGCAGCCCTCATTCAGCATATTGGTATGCATCACCCCTTAAGTTTCCTCTGGGGACGTCTGTTTTAGAACGTTTGTGAAAATAGTTTCAGAAAATCGCTTATAAAAGGTTGACACAGCCTAATGAGTGCCCTTGCCATATATGAAATCATTGTGACGTGACTTCACAAAGACTTACACTTGCCTGTAAGTAGGTGTTGAATGGGTTTGAGTTTTTATCAATGCTTGGATGAACGCAAGCATGGAAGAGGTCTAAAGCATGACCTCGAACGTATTGCCTGCCCCACCTGTAAAATTATCTATACAGTAGAGGTTTTGAGTTCGCATTTGTTTGACCTCGCCTGTCACCCCATGAATCTCCATTGGGTGGTGCACTATGCTAGATTGCAGACAACCCCACCAAACACACCCCCAACCCACCCAAACAAAACAAAAACCCAAAGTTTGCGTAAAGGTTCACAAGCGTGTTTGGCTGGCGAAGGCCGCACGCGACATGAGTGACTAGACGTAAGGACGTCATGATACCACGGGTGTGTCACAGCGTGCGAACGTGGTGGTGGAGGGATGTCGGGTAAATGCTGCGCCCTTATGTGTGAGCGGTGCGGCGCAACATGCTGCCCTAGAGAGAGGGCCACACCTGTAGCAGAGTCCAATTTGTCTACCACGGCTATGGAACCATCCTCATAAGCACACACGACGATCCTCCGCACTGCGCAGCACGCGGCAATAACTGAAAGGAGATTAGTTGTATTATGTAGCCAACAAGCATTTTAAAAAGTGCTCTCGTGTTTGAAGCATAGCCAGAATAAAGGACTCATTCGTTAGGTCAAAGGCTAAAACATCTAAAAAGCAGATATGTCACATGGTCAGATACACATGGGCAGTGTGCGGGGTGGTGGGTGCTTTACATCTGGTTCGTGTTGTAGCACCTTCTACGCTGCTTGGTGTTCGCCTCGTCGTGTGTGTATCTGGGGTCTCACTATCATCCTTGCAATGTGAGTGCCAAAATGTGTTATGGGACTCGCAACTACGTCTGTACTACCTGATGCAACACAAAACATTACGTCAGAAAGCACCATAGACAGCAACTATAGTTCGCAAGAACTAAAAGACTGTCTCTCATATGAGCGGAGGTTCTCGGAGTAAGACCAGAGGGAGAGGAGGAAGACAAATGCAGGTGCAGAGCAGAGATGGCAGTGACGTCGCTCGCCTCTATCTACCGTCAGTGCACGACTTTACATGTATGTTAGTGGCGGCCCAGATTAAGGTGAAGGGACGTAGCGGTGAGGAGAGAGAGAACTCGTGATCCCCTTTGGGTGAGAAGAGCCGAGTGCTAGGACTGTGTTTGAATGTCGTGTGTGGTGGTGTGAAACTGAAAGCGATAGAGAGAGAGAGAGAGTGTCAGAGGGCCCAGAATGCTTTAGCTAAATCCACAATTCGACAGGAAGCCACAACAG